AGGCTCTCCACAGTGCTCCTTCCTGTTTTTTTGGTACGAGTTGCACAGGGAGGCTGCAGTCCCCGCTGGGGCATCCAGCATGCCTGGGCCTCACCACAGCTTGACTTCTCCTTTTGGAGAGCTGAAAAAAGTCCCAGACAGCTGGGGGCTGGGCAGAGCTCTTTGGAAACTTCCACAAGGACACAAGGAGAGGCAGTAGGGTAGGGTAGGGTTTAGGCACACTGGGTCCAAACCCTGATTTTGCCACGGCTAGCTGCCTGCAATGTGGCCTGGGGCTGCCCAGCTGTGGTCACAGAACTGTGTCCCCCCCCCACGTCCAAAAGACATGTCCATATCCATACCCCTGGAATTTGTGAGTGGGACCTTGTTTGAAAAAAAGGTTTTTGCAATGTGATCAAGTTAAGATGAGGTCACACTGGATTAGAAACCCATTGCTGTCAACTCAATTCTGACTCATGCTAACTCCACGTGCTACCAATAGGACTGCTCCATAGGGTTGCCTTGGCTGCCATCTTGATGACAACAGAGTGCCGGGCTTTCTGTCTGCGGTGCTGCTGGGTCGGTTCAAACCACTAAATTTTAGGTTAGTGGTCAAGTGCTAAACGTTTGGAACACCCAGTGAACTTATTAGAGTGGGGTGGGCCCTAAATCCAAAGACCAGGGTCCTTACAAGAAACGAAAGAGAAGATATAGAGAAGAAGGCCATGTGAAGGTGGAGGCAGATATTGGACTGACACGGCCATAAGGCCAGGGATGCCTGGAGCCACCAGGAAACGCGGGCAGGGAAGGATCCTCCCCTAAGCCCTCCAGAAGGGGTGCAGCCTTGCTGACACCTTGATTTCAGACTTCTGGTCTCCAGAACGATGAGAGAATAAACTCCTGCTGTCATAAGCCACTGGTCTGTGGTCTTTGCTGCGGCAGCCACAGAAAGTTAACACATCAGCACATCTCCTGGGGCTCGGTTTTCTCACCTGTATGATGGGCAGGGCCGCAGTGAGGCTCAGAGAGGACAGATTGAGACTGTGGACCCAAACCTACACCCCGGGAGGCTAAGTGCATGAGGAATGAAAATTCTCGTTACTAGGAAGTGAAGCCTGGGTCATGTCACAATTGCTGGAGCTTATTTATGACAGGGAGCTCTGGTAGCACACTGCCTAAGGCACTGACTGCTAACCAGAAGGCTGGCAGTTCAAACCCACCAGCCACTCCTCGGAAGGAAGGTTGGGCAATCTACTTCCGTAGTGATACTGCCTCGGAAACCCAAAGGAGGGATGCTATGAGTCGAGTCTAACTCGACAGCACTTAACAACCACAACAAATGACAGCTTCCAAATGGTGTGCACCTGAGCTAAAAGAACACTGGGTCCTGTGGGGTTCTGCGCTTTGACTCTAAGGCACCGGTTCTCAGTGGGGGCGATTCTGTCCCCAGGGGATCCTGGGCAATGTCTGGAGACATTTTTTGGTTGTTATACTCAGGTAAGGGGGTACTACTAGCACTGAGTGGGTGGGGGCCAAGGAGGCTGCTCAACACCCTACAGTGCACAGGATGGCCCCCACTGCACAGAATATTCTGTAACCAAATGTCACTGATACTGAGGTTAGGAATGTGCATAGATTTCTTAGTTGTCCATGTTGGAGATCTGCTCTCCTCCAGTCAGGGCGTGTGGGTACCCTGGTCAGGGATTAAGATCGTGTGTCTCCGGCCACTGCCCTCAGAGTGGAGAATGTTCTTCCTGCATGAGGTCTGTACTGTGTGGTTCTGGGAAAGCAGGGGCAGGGAGCTTCAGAACAGACTGGAGATGCCCAAAAAAGGGACTTGGGACCCTTAGCACTTAGAATAGCTCTGGGAGAAGAATGATGCTCTCGTCTGGGGTGACTCTGCCTTCCAGAGGACTGTCTGGGGTCATCTGTAGTTGTCAGGACTGGATCAGGGAAGAATGCTATTGGCATCAACTGGGTAGAGGCCAGGGATGGTGTTAAACACTCCACAGTGCACAAGACAGCCCCCATTACGGAGTGTGTTCTGGAATCAAATGCTAACAGTGCCAAGGCTGAGAAACCCTGGACTTGGGTCTTTCAAAATTGATGTCCCAGGAGATGTGTTCATGGTACTGGGTTTGGAATCCAGTGGGGGCACTGTCCCCCAAGCAGGTCATGAACTGCAAGGAACAGCAATTGCACCATGCCCTTCTGGAGAGCCCAGCAAGGTGACCAGTGACTCATGGGCTGCAGGAATTACCTGGTATGGCTTTTCTAGAGTAAGTCTTTGTAAATTCCGTGGTGGAATTTGCTGTGAGCAACTGAGAAGTTTCTCATTGTTAAAGTTATCCATTTCTGTTGGGAGTGGCACAAAGCAATGTTCTGGGAAGTTCGCTCTCTCTCAGGTGTTTAGAATTCTGATTCTATGATTGGTTAGTTTGGCCACTCTGTCAGGCTCAAAAGGAGGCCTCATAGAGGCAGAAGTCTCTCTCTCTCTGACTACGGACTGAGAAGGACGTGCTGCTGAGAAGAAACGCACTCCTGAGAGACATGTGCTCCTAAGAGACACTTGCTGCTCGGAAAGAGATGCAAGAGACACTCACTGCTGAGAGAGACACCAAGGGACATGCACTGCTGGGAGAGAGACTGTGACAGCCTGTTGGCTGAGAGACGGATGGCTGAGAGAGACTGAGTGTTTTTCCTGAACTTGAATTGTAGCCTGGTGCTTCCCTAATGAACCCCATAATCTGTGAGTTCTGTGTGGCCACTGCAGTGAATTACTGAACCCAGCAGAAAGGTGGTGAGTGCTGTGGGAGGAATGGTTGGTGTCAGGGTTGGTGAAAGGGCTGGAGGGAGGCAGCATGTCTGACCTTGCAGAAATAGGCCTTAGGCTACTGATGGTGATTCTGTCTTCCTCTTGTGGGGTTAGAGGAGGTCTGAAGATGTGGCCTCCCTGTCCCGCACGGCGCTGCTGATGCCTTCCTCGGGGTGACCAACGGTCCTCGATGACGGTTGGGATAATGTGCCAGAATCCCTGAGGGCAGCATTGAAGGGAGGGAGGAGAGGGTAAGCTGTGCCCACAGCAAGCCCCATTATGGGGTGGCCATTGGGGCTGGCAACACCTAAGTCCACCAGCTGTTACTCTGTGAGTACTGCAGAGGGCAGAATGCCCCCCCCCAACAAAGATACATTCACATCCTGACCCCCGGAACTGATGACACTGACCTTGAGGGAAAAAGGGTCTTTGCAGGTGTGAGCTAGATGAGGCTCTTGAGATGAGATCATTCTTGGATCAATTACATGGACCCTAAACCCAGGGACAAGTGTTTGTAGAAGAGAAAACAAGGGAAGTCACAGACACAGGAGGCCACGTAAGGAGGGAGGCAGAGACTGGAACGATGTGGCCACAAGCCCAGCAACACCTGGAGCCACCAGAAGCAGAAGAGATGAGGAAGCATCCTCCCCCCGAGGCTCCAGAGTCAGTGGGGCCCTGCTGACACCTTGAATTGAAACTTCCAGCCTCCGGGACTGAGAGAGAACTTTTCTATTCTTATAACCAGTTGCTGAGCTGACTCTGACTCATGGAGACCTCGTCTGTTCCCACAGCCCCCTGGTTTGTGGTACCCAGGTTCAATTCCTGGTCAATGCATCTCAGGCCCAGCCACCACATGTCTGTCAGTGGAGGCTTATGTGTTGCCAGGATGCTGAACAAGTCTCAGTGGAGTGTCCAGATGATGACAGACTAGGAAGAAAGGCCTGGTGGTCAATGTCCAAAAACTAGACAATGAAAACCCCAGGGATCACAATGGTCTGATCTGCAATTGATCGTGAGGACGGCTCAAGACTGGACAGCGTTTCCACTGTGCGTGGGGCTGCTGTGACTTGGAGCCAACTTGAGGGCAGTTCACAACATAGAGGAGTGAAAGACAGGCTCCAAGTACTGGCATAGGGCCCTATCCTCTGTTACATACGACTTTCTGGGTGTTGACCCCAGAGACGCCAAGGAACAGAAATGCATATAGCAGGTGCTGGCTGACTTGCAGTGAACGCTCACAGCAGTCCTCCCGGGTGGCCTCATAGTTCCTGAGCCCAGGGTCAAGGTCAGATAGGTAGAGGTTGAGGCAGCCAGGTGGTGCAGCCACTCCACACCCACCTTACCCACTCTGTTAAGGGTCTCAGCCCATCAAGCAGAGTCTGGGACCAGGACTCCAGACCCGGAGTCGCAGACCCCTGAGCCAGCACATCACTCCTGGTTCTCACTAGGTGATGGCACATTGTGCTCTTCTCAAACATAAATGTAACCTTGTCCTAAAACCCCTGAGAGCTGCTGTGTGGACTCTTGCAGACCTGTGTCCAAAGGCTCACCCACAAAGACACATCATCGATGGCTCCCAAGGGGTTCGGCCAGCACAACACCCAAGTCCTCCTCAGGTGATGGTGTAATATGCTGCTCTTAAACACGCGACACATTTTATTCTAAAAGCTCCGCAAGCAAGGGATGCTGATGGTCTCTTCCAGACCCAGATCCAGAAAGCTCATGACACATCATCGATGGCTCCCATGGGGTTTGGCCAGCACAACACCCCCAGCCCTCACCAGGTGATGGTGTACCATGCTGTTCTGAAACATATAACGCACCCTGTCCTAAGACGACCATGAGCATGGGATGCTGCGTGGACTCTTCCAGACCCACACCCAGAAGGCTCACCCACAAAGATACATCCACGGTGCTCAAGGGGTTGGCCAATGGGGATACCAGCTGGAGGGCAGGGGAGGCTGGGGGATTTCCTCTCTGCTGCCTCTGTGGAACCCATGACCCCCAATGGGTGGCCCCACCTCAACAACAATCATCTCTAGGGCCACTTCCACCTGGCTACTGCCCCTCAGAGCCCCCAACACTGCCTTACGCCTTGCCCATTTTCCCACACCCCCTGCACAGCGCACATCGATTTGCTTGTCCTGAGCGCTCCCCCTCCTTCTTCCTGCCCTCATCGTCTGCAGTCCCCCCAACGTCCCGTTACCTCGAGCACAGGCCCAGCGCCCAGGATGGTGCGCTCAACGCCGCAGGCGTAGCCCTTCTGGCTGAGTGCGGTGAGGCAGTGGATGAGGAAGTTGGTGCTCTGCGTCTTGCCTGAGCCGCTCTCGCCCGAGATGACAATGCATTGGTTGAGACGCTTGCGCAGCATGGCGTGGTAGGCCGCGTCGGCGATGGCGAAGATGTGGGGCTCCAGCCGGCCCAGCTCTTGGTTCTCGTACATCTTCACGTACTTGGGGTTGTAGATGGGCAGGAACTTGAAGGGGTTGATGGCCACGAGGATGCTGCCAGCATAGGTATAGATCTTCTGCTGCAAGAAGCGTCGTTTGAGGTTACGCAGTAGGTTGGCCTCGGTCAGCTCAGGCAGGTCGCACAGGTCGTCGAAATCGGCCTGCTGCCAGGGCAGGAAGCCGCGCTGCGCCAGGCGCCGGGCAGCCGCTTCCTGTGACACCAGCTGCATGTGCAGGTACTTGATGGTGCCATCAGCGTTGCGCTCCTGAAGCAGGAAGTAGTAGCCGTCGCAGCGAGGGTGCTCATCCTGGGCGCGGCGTGGCCACAGCAGCACGCGGTGCACGGGTGAGTCATTGGCGTCCAGCACCCACTCCTCGCCACCTGACTCTTTCACCTCCACCAGCACGTAGCGCTTGGAGCCGTCCAGTTGCAAGGTGGCAATGGCATCGCGGATGACGTCGGACGTCGTGGTGTCCTTGGTGGCCATCACGCGGCAGGAGGCCTGGCTCTCGGCAGACAGCTGCGGGTAGATGTGCAGGTGGTAGGCTGCCTGCTCGGGGCCAGCCCGGCTGTCTGCCTCGCTGGCACTCATCCTGCTGCTGCCGCCGCTGACCCGGGCTCCGCATGCCTCAGGGCTCAGGGTGCGTGTCTGCGGGATCTGCAAGGGAAGGGGAACACAATTAGGGCTCCAAAGAGTAGGGGTGCTGTGGATTGAACTGTGTTCTCCCAAAATACGCATAGGAACCCTAACCCCAGCGCCTGTGTATTGTGTGCTGAATTGTGTTCCCCAAAACAGGTGTAGAATTCCATGGAAGGCTGTACTCAGCTGATGATGTAAAGGTGGAACGAAGGAATGTAGAACAAAGGCCTGGCAATCTGCTTCCGTAAGCACTGTTGTTACTGTGTGCCGTCAAGTCGATTCTGACTCACAGAAAACCCTACAGTGCAGTTCTGTTCCGTAACACATGGGTTTGCCATGAATCAGACTCCAACGGATGGCAACTCACAAATTCATAGGAATCCTAACACCTATGCCTGTGGAAGGTGCTGGGGTGGAAGAAATGGTTTGTGTTTGACTACTAACCCAAAGGTTGGTGGCACAGCAGAATAAAGGGCTGGCAGTCTGCTTTTATAAAGATTACAGGCAAAGATAAAGCCTCTGGAGCTCAGCTCTACTCTGTTAACACACGGGGTCACCGTGAGTCGGAATCAACCCAATGGCAGTGGCTTTGGTTTTGGTTTTTTATATCTGTGAATATACCCCTAGTTAAGAGCTTTGGTGGTGTAGTGCCTATGGCACTTGACTGCTAACCAGAAGGCTGGCGGTTCAAACCCACCAGCCACTCTTTGGAAGGAAGGTTGGGCATTCTACTTCTGTAGTGATACTGCCTCAGAAACCCAAGAAGGGGTTGCTATGAGTCGGATCCAATTCGATGGCAGTAAGTTTGGATTTTTTTGGGGGGTTATACTCCTATTTGGAAGTAGGGATTTCTTTGTTATATTAACTAGACCACATCACTTGTAGGGTGTATCTTAAACCAATCTTTTTTTTTTTTTAAATTTTTATTGCAAGTTGGCTGAAAGTCTACAAAGCAAATTCATTTCCCATACAGCAGTTCATATACATTTTATCTCATGACATTGACTGCAATTCCCCACAATGTAACAGCTCTCTTCCCACTCCCTGCCTGTAGTTACCTCTTCCTTGTGTCCTTCCTTCCCATGTACTCCTGCCCTCTGAACTGTCTCCCTGTGCATACACTGCCCCTCTGTTCTTTCATGATTGATCTCTCCGAGGAGTGTATCTACCTGATGTAAATGTTCAGCCCATATGCTGGTGTTTTATTAAGCTACAGGAGTGAGTTCAATTCCAGACCTGAAGGGCAGCTAGGGGCCATAGTCTCAGGGGTTTCACCAGGCTCTATCAGACCAGCAAACCTGGTCTTTTTTTTTTTTTTTTTAATGCTTTTGAGTTTTGTCCCACATTGTTCTCCCTCTCTATCCAGGATCTCCTACACAGATCCCCCCCTGAGTGGTTGACAGTGGTAGCTGGGCACCATCTAGTTCTTCTGATCTGATAGTCATACAGGCTGCGGATCACATGGTCTACTAGTTCCTTCGACTAACTGCTCCCATGCGTCTTTGGCCTTCTTCATTCTTCTTTGCTCTGGACGAGAAGAGATCCATTGTTGCATCTTGATGCCCACTTGCAAGCTTTTAAGATCCCAGTCCTTACTTGCTAAAGTAGGACGTAGAAGTGTTTTTGTGTAGTATGTTATACCAATTGAGCTTGATGTCCCCTACAACCATGGTCTCGAGACCACAGTTAAACCGATCACTTTTAAAAAGAGATCATCAATGGTAGAAAGACCTACGTGCAGAACACCTACCCTAGGGAGATCTACCCACTAGCTCTAGGGAGATGCACCCCTTAGATCGATCAACTATGAGACACCAGAGGGGCAGCATTCACACAGAGTGAAAGCTGGACAGACAGGAGTGCACAGTTAAGCAGGGCACAGGGAGGGGTAGTCACAGGGAGGAGACGGGAAGAGAGTGTTTCATGGTTGGGGATTGTAATTAGGGCCATAAAATCAAATGTACATGAACTGTTAAATGTAAAACAAATCTGCTTTGTAAATCTGAACGCAAAGCACAATGGAAAAAATTAAAGATAAAATAAAATAAAATAAAACAATAAAAAGAGCAGATTAGGCCCAGAGAAGCAAACACCAACACAGAGGAAGATACTTGCCACAAGCCGAGACAAAGATCTTTCCCCAGAACCAAAAGAGAGCCTTCGAGAATTCACAAGTCTGATTTCAGATTTCTAGGCCCTCCAACTGTGAGAAAATAAATTTCTGTTCATTAAAGCCACCCATTTGTGGTATCTGTGTGACAGCAGCTTTAGGAGACTAATGTGTTAGGAAATAAGGTTTTCTTTGTGATGTTAATGAGGCCGTATAGTACAGGGTGAGTCCTAAACCTAATCACCTCTGAGTCATAAAAAGGGCAGATGAGACAGGGACACAGAAGCACAAAGGGGGGAAGACAGAGGCCATGTGAAGGCTGCCAAGGAGCCACAGACTGCAAGAAGCTCAGACGGACAAGGAAGGCCCTCCTCCTAGAGCTACACCCTGAATTCCACCTCACCCTCCAAGACTATGAGACAATAGCAGCTGTTCTTTAAAGCCATCCATGGGTGGGATTTGTTATAGCAGCATTAAGAGACTGAGACAGGAGGTCCTATATACTGGTTCCTAGATGGACTGCAGGTCCCACAAGCATCAGAACAGAGTCTGGAAGCCCCTGCCCTGACCAGATGCTGCCCCAAGGCCAGACATAATCATCCAGGGCTTCTGGGGAGGGCAGAAGAGCCTTCAGCTGTCCCTAAATGGGACCTTTGACCCACAGGTAGCAGCTCTGATGGTCCTAGTATTGCCAGCCAGAACCAACCCCGCCCTGAGACTCAGAAGGCCTGAGACCACTGAGGAGGAGGGCTGTGTTGGAGAGAATCCCTGAGATCCCTGGGGAGGAATAACCGCCAAGACCCCCGGGGAGGAGGGCCGAGTTGGAGAGAAGTGCCAAGAGCCCTGAGAAAATGTTCAAAGGGCCTCTACTGCTGACACCTACCACCCCATCTACTTGTAAGAAACACATCCTGATGGGGTGGGTGGGCTTCTGCAGGACCCCTGCCTATCCTCATAATAGCCAATGTGTCACCAGGAAGACCAAGGACCCGGGGACAGGGGAGCCAGGACGGCTAAGTTCAATGGCGTACCTGGATGGGGTCCTGGATCATGAAGGGCACATGATGGACAAAGTGGTAAAATCCGAAAAAGCCCAGAGTGTGGTCAACGGAAATGAGCCTGTGTGGTCCTGGGCTGGGAAAACTGCACTGCGGCCAGGTGGGAACTGAGGTGGGGGGTAGACGGGGCCGGGGGCTAGGGAGAGGGCGGGGGAAACAGGGTGCCATCGGTGCAATTCTCTAGCTCTGTACTGACTTTGCAAGTGTTCTGAAAGTCTAAAATTATGACCAACGGAAAAGTTCATTTAAAAAAAAAAAAAAAAAAGGTCCGTGAGGCTGGATGAACCGATGAAACTACTGTCCTGAGACAATCTTTAAACTTTAAACCAGAAATTTCCCCTAAGCTCTGGTAGCATAGTGCCTAAGGCACTTGACTGCTAACCGGAAGGTTGGCGGTTCAAACCCACCAGCCACTCCTCGGAAGGAAGATGGGGCAATCTACTTCCGTAGTGGTACTACCTCGGAAACCCAAGGAGGGGTCGCTATGAGTCGGGTCCGACTCAACGGCACATAACAACAACAACAGCAACAATCTTTAAACCAAATAATAGTTTAGCTTAACTAGTAAAGACTGGCTTGGGCACTGTGTTCTTTTAAGACCTATACAGGATCAGATTGACAACAGCAACGTGAGAGGTCACATAGGAAGCTTAGGGGCCAGTGAGTTTATGTTAATGGCAGAGGAATAACTCAGAAAAAGAGGGTGAGGATGGCTGCACAACCCAAATGTAATCAACGTCACTGAACTGTACACATAGGAACTATCGAGTCCGTATGTTCTCTGCTGTGTATATTTTCAACAACAGAAAAAGATGTACGTGCTTCTGAAGAGGTTGCAGGGAAAAAGAGAAAATGCAGCTGATGCTGGTTCAGCCCCCTTGGTGTTATCTAGTGCAAAGCTAAAAAATGTGGCAGGGGTCCCATGTGTAAGCCCACTGTAAGCCAGCCAGGATGGCCAAGGAGACAAAGTCAAAACAGATCCTGGCTCAAAGCCCAGTGTGAGAGTGCACCAAATACAAAAATAAATGCTGTGTAAGAGGGGTGATTATCATGGAGGGCTGGAAAAGGCTTCAAGGGAGCAGGAACATCTAAGCGGGGTGCAGAGTTGAACAGCTGCAACTGAGACCCTGTGGCCCGCAGAGCCTAAAGTATTTACCATGTGGTTTTCTACCAGAAACATGTATACTCAAGAACTGAACATACATATTCAGATAGATGTGTGTACTCCAATGTTCATAGCAACATAATCAACAAAAGGCAGAAATAATCAAAGTGTTCATCAACAGCTATGCATGCAATGGAAATATTCCACAAAACCAAACTCAACCCATTGCCACTGGGTCAATTCTGACTCATATAGACTATAGGACAGAGTAGAACTGCTGCACAGTGTTTCCCAGGCTGTAAATCTTTACAGGAGCAGACCACTTCATCTTTCTCACATGCAGCAGCTGGTGGGTTTGAACCACTGAGGTTTCAGTTAGCAGCTGAGTGCTCAATTAGTGCTCCACCAGGCCTCCTTAAGGGCATATTACTCAGCCCTAAAAAGGAATGAAGGCCTAACATATGCTACGATGTAGATGAATCTTGAAAACATGACGCCAAAGAAGCCAGACAGAAAAGGCCACATAGTGTCTGATTCCATTTATATGAAATGTCAGAACACACAAATCCACAGAGACAGAAAGTAGATCGGTTATAAGGGGCCGAGGAGAGGGATGGGGAATGACTGCTAATGGGTACGGGGTTTCCTTTTGGTGTGATGAGAATATTCTAGAACTATAAAGAGGTGGTGTTTGTATAACACTGTGAAAACTAAATGCCACTGAATCGTTCATGTTGTTGTTGTTGTTGTAAGGTGCCACTGAGTTGGTTCTGACTCACAGCGACCCGACATGTAACAGAATGGAACGCTGCTGCCCAGCCCCATGCCATCCTTACAATCTTTGTGTTTGAGTCCATTGTTGTAGCCACTGTGTCAGATCATCTTGTTGAGGGTCTTCCTCTTTTTTGCTGGCATGGGGCTGGGCAGCATTTCCATTCTGTTACATGTGGGGTCGCTGTGAGTCAGAACCAACTCAGTGGCACCTTACAACAACAACAACAACATGAACGATTCAGTGGAATTTAGTCTTCACAGTGTTATACAAACACCACCTCTTTATAGTTCTAGAATATTCTCATCACACCAAAGGGAAACCCCATACCCATCAGCAGTCATTCTCTACTTTACCAAGCATGATGTCTTTCTCCAGGGACTGGTCCTTCCTGACAATATGTCCAAAGGACTTGAGACAGTGTCACCATCCTCACTTCTAAGGAACATCCTGGCTGTGGTTTTTCTGAGACAGATTTGTTCATTCTTCCGGCAGTCCACGTGATATTCAATATTCTTCACCAATACCACAATTCAAAAGTGTCAATTCTTTGGTTTTCCTTATTCATTGTCTAGCTTCTGCACAGAAATGAGGTGACTGAAAATACCATGGCTTGGGTCAGGTGCACCTTAGTCCTCAAAGTGACATCTTTGCATTTTAACACTTTAAAGCCGGGCTTCAAACCAGTTCAAAGCAGTTTAGTAATTATTGTTGCCAACAAGGCTATGTATGCATTGCATAGCAACCAAATCTGTTGCCCATGGTACTTTGATCTGAGTGGGAAACAAACAGCTGTGCTCTTCTCAAAGATGGCGGCCAAACACGTGGCTTTGAATGTGTTGCTCTCCAGAGTTCTGCCCATCACATTGCTCTCCAGAAGTCCAGCCATGGTCCTTCCTCCTAAAAGTTTCAGGAGCCTAAGGCGGGAGACTGGATAACTGGGTAGCTTCCAAAAACCAAACCAAACTTACTGCATTGTCAAGTCAGTTCTGACTCATAGCAACCCCTCCTTTGGTTTCTAAGGTGATAACGCTATGGAAGTAGATTGCCCAATCTTCCTTCTGAGGAGTGGCTGGTGGGTTTGAACTGCCAGTCTTCTGGTTAGCAGTCAAGTACCTTAGGCACTACGCCACCAGAGCTCCCAACTGGGCAGCTTATTGTAGCACAGCTGTTGTTGTTAGGTACCATTGAGTCAATTCTGACTCACAGTGACTCCCTGTGACAGCGCAGAACTGCTCCATAGAGTTTTCTAGGTTGTAATCTTTACAGAAAGAGATCACTGGGCCCTTCTTTGGCACCAATGGGAGGGTGTGAACTGCTGACCTTTGTGTCACCAGCTGAGTACTGCCTTAAAGCTGTTTAAAAACAACCATGTGGGTTATGAAAGGATTCATTTCCCCAGCAGCTGATGTTTCTAAAACATCTGGTTCTATTTTCAAAATGTTAAACCCTGGGTCCAGTAACTCCGTGGCTAGCACACCATTCTGAGGAAATGGTTTGAAATCTGTGACGACGGTGTCAGTAGTACAAGTTGCCACAGGGCACTGGCTCACCTGGCCAGCCCAGGTAGCACGAGAGTTAACTGCGGAACACCCACTCATGGTGGACACTGCATGGCCCTGAGATGTTTACAAAGATCTGCGGGTTTCTAAGCCATGTGGAAAATGCAGGAACCAGACTCCAAAGAGATGCAACATAGTTATAGCCACATAAATGCATATGCGTGTGCATACAGGGCTGCATACACACAGGCAGACACATGCCCAAGCACACTCACATGCACGTGTATACACGACACACATGTGCACGCCCACAGAGACATATGTGCACAGACATGAGTATGCATAATTTATGCATGCACAGATGCCAGAGAACATACATCCTCATGCTAGTATACATATGCATGCATGCACAGATACTTGTGGATATACAGACAAATGTATGCACACACTGACACACAGCCACACAGACTGTATACAGGCATGCATACATATGTGTGAACACACTGAGCATAGACTTGTACACTGGGGACACACACGTACGCATACATGCACACATAGGCACACATAAAAACACATGCTCATGTGCACACACATGGATAAACATGCATGTGTGTGCACACGCAGGGATGCACACACTGGGACACATGTGCAAAGCACACACTCATACCCTCACATGTGTGTACATATACACATGCACTACACACAGGCTCATGTGCACTCACACTAAAACATACACACACAAACATGCACATACCTGTATACACCCTCATGTACACACATGCATGTATACACTGGGGCACATGTAAGCACACATGCTCACATGTACACATATAAACACAAAGAGCCTGAGTTTCAGATATAGACCCCCATGACCTGATTTCTCAGGGTGGTGGCAGGTGTGCACCACAGCTGCTGTCTGGCTCAGCTTGTGAGCTTCACTGTTCAAACCCTGGTGTAGGAGGATAGTAGCTTGAACAACACGCCTGTCCCCTCATCATGATGACCTGCTCTGACCACAGAGAGGTTATGTGCTAATAATGTGGACACCAAAAGGCTCCCGCAGCCCACACACCACCTGCTGAGAAGGGTCTACCCTGCACTTTCACTGGCTGGACAAGCTGAATGCAGTAAGGCCACAGCGCTTTGAGAGCCCTCCAGCAAACCTCAGGGGCTGGGGGCAGTCATAGGACCAGCTGATGCACGCCTGGTCCCCACAGAGCTGCAGCCTGGTCTACTCCCAGGCTAGGAGGAAGCAGATAAGGATTGCCCAAGGCAGAAAGGGGTGGGAAATGAAGAGCAGGCACTTCCTCAATCATGGCTGGGTGGCCAGAATCAGCTGGGAGCCACTCACAGGAGCCCGAGAGGTCTAGCCTGTGTTTTCCCAGACCTACTTGCTACAGCTTCCCCTCTACCTGCCACGCCTCCCAACATACCCACAGCTCCCAAGCCCTGGATGGCCTGGGGGCCCCTGTCATCCCCAGCACCCCTCTGAGACCCTAGGGAAAAAGTTTCAGTGTCCTCCCTTCTCTCCCATCTGGGCCACTGAGGGCAAGGCTCATACTCACCTGGGTGAGGTACCCTCCTGGAAACAGCTTTTGCCTTACAACCAGAGACAAATGAAGGTGTCTATGTAGTGCAGGCAGTTTGCGTTTGGTTGCTAACCTAAAAATTCAAACCCATCCAG